TCAGCACAAGAACTAGGCCTCTGAGTACATCAGTTGAAGAACTAGAGAAAGAAGCATAATTAAGAAAACAGAGTAGAGAGAAAGTAAAAGAAAAAGTGTAATTGTTCACCTAACTCACAGACTTAAAGTCAGTATATACAACCAGATTTCAATGGATATCGTTTCTGTGCCACATATAGCTTATACATCTTCTATTGTATATTATCTGCACAAATTGCCACCAATTGGAGCTTTCTGCTGAAAGTTTACAACATGATTCAAAGTATAAATTTGTATTCACTGCAGACCAGTGTAATATACTCTATATATAGTCAGATAGTAGTACTTACAAAGAAATTTACTATATCTAAAGTGATCAATATTCTGACTAAACAGTTTATAATTTTGCAAGGGATTCAAAAAAGTTGCCATCCTTATCCATCACAGGCACAACTAGAGACTTGTAATTTAACATCTCCTGGTTTTAAAAATGGTAACTAGGGTTTCCCAATATTACCTTTTTAACAATGTATTTTTATCGCATTATTCTTTATTTTAAGTTAAATCCATTTTAATCAGATGCAGGAATTAATATAAATTTACTACCCACTATATTCTAAAGGCAGATTAATTATACCTTGGACTACAAATGCCAGCCTGCAGGCAACTAAAGAGAAATCAAGTAAACATCAATTTATTTTATGTCAGTTTTATTTTTTGATAAAGCATCTAGGGAACAAAACTATAGCAACTTGACCAAAAGTAATGACTGATGGCCAATTGGAAGACAATTTTGATTTCAGTACTATTGTTGTCACGTAAGAGCATTTCTCATCTATATGAACATTTTTTAAAAAACTGAAGTACTCTTGTACAAATGATTTTTTTCTCAAGGCCAAAGAAAACATTCCTATATAACATAAAATACTACCATAATTTATTCTGTACTCTAATACATTCTGTCAATTGATCTCTAGCTGTTTTAAGTATTATGCGATTAAAGTCAGAGAAGACATATTTAACACCTACTTAAACAGCCATTGTTCCAGGACTTTTGGTTCATTACAGCTCTCTAGTTATTACTTACTATGCCATAAATTCATTACATGGAAATCCTATCTCGGAGTCACACAGTAGCTGCTAGGGAGTATCTGTGCACCTTAATCATACATCTGAACCTTTGCTTTTAGGTAGTTCATGGCCCCCAAATCTGAGTATATTCAATTTTAAAAGAACAAAATATATTTATCCTCAGGCTTTTGATAGACTTCAGCAGAGAAGAGTCTCCTGCCCAACTTCAAACAACATAAGAAAGTGGAATAGTAAACTGAAAACAAAAATGGAAACTCCAGATGGATAGTTTTCAACGTGAATGTGGTAAGATGAATACTGTCTCCACTTTTGAGGGAATAGCCAGCATGTCCATTGGTCAGTGCTTATAGTACAATTCTATAATTAATGTTATTCTCACGTAGCTGAGTCTAAGAAGTTTCCTCACTTATAATTTTCACCACATTCATTTTCATATCACTTTAGATATTAGCTTTACTAAAAGAAAACATTACTTTAACGTAAGAAAAAACTTGCCTGCTTATTGTTTTAGTTAGCATTATTCTTATCTCGATGATATTTTTGAGCATGAAATATAAAGGAAAGGAGTATACAAGTGGAGTATCCCTTATCCAGAATTCTCAAGTTCGAATTACTCTAAAATCTGAAACTGGTGAGATAGTGACACTTTTGCTATCTGATGATTCAGTGTATAAAACCTCTGTTTCATGCACACAATTATTGAAAATATTGTATAAAATTACCTTTGGGCGATATGTATAAAGTGCATATGAAAGGAAAATTATTTTTGTCCCAAGATATCTCATTATGTATATACTGTACTGTAAATACAAGTATTCAAATATATGACAAAAAATCTGAAATCCAAAACTCTGGTTTTCTGATAATTGTTTCAGATAAAGGTATTATTTTCTAAAAGTGTAAATCTGATATCTAAACAACATGTTAGTAATTAATAAAATGCAACCAGCCAAACTGCAAAAAGGTCCAATGGAAGAAAAGATAGCAGAAGGCACAACACAAAGCTTGGGGAATAACTCTTTCCACAATACAGAACAAAAAAGAGCATCCTGATGACTCACAGAACTAACAATACTGTAAGCTCCTGACTAGCAAAACTCAATTTTCCACCTGTGCACACATATCTCAGTCTTTACTGAAATCATAAATGTATAGAAGAATAATGTACAATACAGGACAGCAGATTTATTATCTATTCAATGCTGCTTTAGCATACAGCATATATGAACTTCAGTATTCTTTCCCCATTCTCATGTCAGTTTTCAGGGACTAAAACTTTCTGCATTAAACAAATGTTGCTCTTTGTTCACGCCTGCTATCAATGGAATACCAAAAGCTGTATTCCCTTCATTTTTAGCCAAAGTTATGAACTCGCAAGAGAAAAAACACTGTTGTCACAAAATATCTGATCTATCTGACATTCTAGAAGCAAGGTAGACATTCTAGTACCAAATTTTTGCTGCATTTTTACACTATCTATACTGTAAAAATGATTTAATGCAGTTCTATGAACACCTGTTTTAGAATAAGCCCTTTTCTGCAACCTCTCCAAGCAAACTTTTAAGTAATAACATCAAGTAGCTAAACAGAAAAAGTGCTTATAAAATGAAGCCAAACATGTCATTGCAAAGTTTTAATATTAAAATGTTAAGTGAAAGAGTATATAACTTTATGAAGTATGATCACACTATAGCTTCTATTTCATTCATATATTCAAAATGACAAAAAGCTGCTCCAATATGTTCAGTCAGGCCTATTTATCACACACATAACACATGGAAGATTTAAGTTACTATGGTGCAAGACTGCCTTATAATACTTCCTTTCATTTGCAATAATCTCTTCACAACAGCATAGTTACATACTTCAGAAATGTGTGGCAATTGCTGTAATCACAGAATCTAAGCATTATTACTCTTTCACTCTCAGTAAGCCCCAAGCTTGAATATATACATAAGAACTGATTCTCCACTCTTGTACCAAAAAAACTGTTATTCCCCTTGTTATTACATAATGCAAAAAAAGAGATTTCATTAATCAACTCACTAATTATTCTTTCAGAAACAATAAAAGAGTGAACAACTCTTTCAACAACAAAAAAGAGTCTTGATAGAGGCACTGGTTTAACTGTTGTATTTGAATCTGTTATTCCTAGTATTTCCGGCACAGCTGATACATAACTGCAGCTATCCGTATCCCTCAAAAAAGTATTTAAGCGACAGATGAACCAGCTACAATATTTAATAACAAAGATGGTAGGCAGCGCAGATCATTCGAGCATTCTGCAACATTTCCTTTTCCGTTATTCAAGAGCAGCACTTCATAGGGTTTGTAAAAGCCTGAAAACTACATGTATCACAGTATAAGATGCCTTTGATTAGAGATCTGGTCTGTAAAATTCAAGTAAGACCTTGCAGTAACTTCTGAGTCCATGAATATAATCAACACAGGTTCAAAAAATAAGGAGAAGCAACCCAGACTGATAACACGCAATGGAAGGGCTGTACAGAAGAGACAAAGTCTTAAGATGATTTGGGCTTATCAAATGAGAAAATCATTGAGACTTTGTATTTTCTCTTCATCTCTTTTAAATAAGAAGCACAGTATGAACATTGTTTCCATCTCGTTTGTTTCAAAACACTTGGCCACCAGTAAAGATTTCTCCTTGACAATAAGACTAGTCATGTCTCACTCTGGGGGGTGGTGCTCATCTCCATTTCCAAGCCAAAGAGCCAGCACTGTCTATAGACATCTTGTAGGTCATGTGGCCAGCATGACAGCATGGAGTGCTGTTACCTTTCTGCTGAAGCAGTACCTATTGATCTACTCAAAACTACTAGGTTGGCAGAAGCTGGGGCTAACAGTGGAAGCTTACCCCACTCCCCAGATTCAAACTGCCAAACTTTCGGTCAGCAAGTTCAGCAGCTCAGTGATTTAACCCACTGCATCACTGGGGGCTAGCTAAAACGTACATGCTATATAAACATTCTCTGCATCCAATAGTTAAAAAGCGGCTTTAATTTAAAAAACAAAACAAAAAAAAACAGTGGTTTTCTATCTAATGAAGGTGCTTCCAAATATTGATCTCAACACTAAATGACACAAAAGGGCTCTATCCTTTCATGTAAACCAGGCATGGCCAAACTTGGGCCCTCCAGGTGTTTTGGACCAACTCCTACCATTCCTAAAAGCCTCAGGCCCCCTCCCCTCCCTTTCCCCCTCAGCCACTTAAGCAGAAAGGAAAGAAAGGCCCGAGGCTGTTAGGAATGGTGGGAGTTGAAGTTCAAAACACCTGGAGGGACCAAGTTTGCCCATGCCTGCTATATTCTGAGCAATGTGACTAATTTGATGAGAGGGGAAAAAACTGGGGAAGTGGAAGATATTAGGAAGAGATTTATAATATCTTTAGAGTTGGGATACTCTGAGGTAGTCAATATTATGCTGTCAAATAGCTTAAGCGCATGAGGGAGAAAGGGCCTGAGGTTCTTAGGAATGGTGGGAGTTGAAGTCCAAAACACCGGAAGGGCCCAAGTTTGCCCATGCCTGATCTATGCACAAAACACAACTGTTTCAACCAGACCTTTCTGAGGGACAGCCAATGCTGTCTCCTCCTCCTCCTCTCCCTCCCACCAAACTATACACCAGGCAGCCATGTCCTCCTTCCCTTTGGAAAAGGAGGCAAACTCCGGCTCGCTGGCTTGCTTTCCATTCTGCAGCCGAAGAGGAGGCTTTAAAAAAAAAAAAAGCCAAGCCCTGCCTCACACACACACACGACGACATGTTCAAGAGAGGAAAACAACCGGCAGCAAGCAGCCTGGCTCTGGAAAACAGCACTGAAAAAAGGCAGAGCTGGAGTAGTAGACATAACCGCCCTCCCATCCTCTCCCCGCACAACAGGGACAGACAGGCAAGGCAAGGGGTTTTTTTACCTTCATGATGAAGAAGAACTGCAGGAGTCAAACCCGAAAAGAGGTCGAGCGGCTGAGGACCTGGAATGTAAAACAAAGCACTGAGGCACCGCCGCACCTCCCCCTTTCGGGGGGGGGGATATGTAGTATTCTTGGGGCGCTTCTCCCACTTCCACACACACACACAAAAAGCCCGCTCCTCCCTCCCCCCCCCCCCCCCGGCTTGGCCTTCTTCCTCCCTTTCTCTTTCTCTCTCTTTCACACACGGCGGCTTCGCTTTCCCCCCTCGCTGCCGCCTTCCTTTGACGCCATTTCTGTCAGAGGAGAAACTTGCCACAACAACAACCAACGGCCTCACAACAAGCGGCTCACCGGCCACCGCTCCCCGCCTTCGCCTCTTCGGAGGGAGGAGAGGCCTCGCCATTGTATCGGGAGAGAGAGAGAGAAGGAAGGAAGGCAAGAGGGAGGGAAGAAAGGAAAGGAGGAAAGAAAGGAAGGAAAAAGGAAAGGAAGGAGAAGGAAAGAAGGAGAAGAAGGAAGGAAAGAAAAGAGAAGGAAGAGAAGGAAGGAAGGAAGGAAAGGAGGAGAAGAGAAGGGAGGAAGGGAAGAAGGAAGGAAGAAGGAGAAGGAAGGGAAAGAAGGGAGGGAGAAGGGAAGGAGGGGAAGGGAAAGGAAGGGGAAGGGAAGGAGAAAGGGAGAGGGAAGGAAGGGGAAGGAAAGGAGAAGGGAGAAGGGAAGGAGGAGAAGGGAGAAGGGGAAGGGAGGAAGAAATGAAGGAGAAGGAAAGAATGAGAAGGAAGGAAGGTGGGGGCGGCTCGGGAAGCGGCTCGCCTCCTTCTCCTTCTCCTCCTCCCCGTCGTCGTCCGCGCCGCTTCCCAAACCGCCCCCACCTCCCTCCCTTCCTCTCCTTTGCTCCCCTTCTTCCTTTCCCTTTCTCTCTCTCTTTCTGCCTCCTCAAACGCTGACTCCGCGGCAGGAGTTTGAGCAACAGCCGCAGCTCGGTCGAGGGAGGGAGGGAGGGAGGGAGAGGGCTCGAGGGCCTCCTTGGCCTCCACCTCCAGGCTCCGGTATGTATGGGGAAGGGAGGAAAGGAGGAGGGGGGGGGGCTTTGAATCGGCGGGACTCGACGAGGAAAACAACACACCGGAGAAGCGCCTCTCTCTTTCTTTCTTTCTTCCTCGCTCTCTCTCTCTCTCTCCTCAAAGGGCTTCCTTCCTTCCACTCAGGGCTACGGAAGCCGGGAAGGTCTCGCTCAGGGCAACGTTACCTTTGTTCCGCGGCGCGCGCTCTCTCCCTCTCTCTCTGTCTCGCGGGTCCCCCCAAACCTTCGAGGCGGGGGGAGGGGGGGCGCGAGGAGGATGGAGCCTCCTCCCAACGATGGACCCGATCCCTGGGCAGTCGAGGAGGAGAATAGTAATCCCACGCTCGCGGAGAAATCTTTGGGCGGGCGGGCGAGGGGGGGGCAGCGGTCCCTCCCGTCCCAGCCCCGGTGGCGGCGACAGCGACAGCAGCGGCGGCGGCTCCCCTCCGAGCTGCTCACTCCCCTCCCCCAAGACCAGGAGTGACTGACGGCGCAAAGCCCGCCCTCTCCCCGCCTTACCGGCACGCCATTGGTTGCCGAGGCGGAGAGCCCGCCCACTCCCTCCACGCCATTAGCTTCTCGAGCTGAAACACTGATGTAATTCTCACCGCCGTTCTATGGAAACAGACTCGGCCCCCGCGGTGCCTTCTGGGTAGTGAGGTCCTCCGCTGTCACCTTTTGCCGCAGACTCCGGCGGGGATTGTGCACCCAGCTGCACTACAACTCCCGAAATGCACCGGGAGCGGAGCAAGCAAATGGAGGGGGAGAGGGCCGGAGAGGGCTTACGGCAAGGGGAGGAGTGGGAGGAGCCCGCGCCTGCGCCAAGGCGCTCCGGTGGCGCATTTTCCCCCATCGAGCGAAGGTGGCGACTGAGGCGGAAGGGACCTGGGGGTGGGGCCTGGCCTTCTCCGCTCCGGAGACCACCAAGCGGGACCGAGCGGCGACTGAGGAGGAGAGAAGGGCTCGCGCCCGTCGGCGAAGGAGGCCAGGGCGCGCGAGCCGGAACCTTCCTCGGGAGCCCCCCCCCACCTCCCCTCCGCTGCTCCCCGCCCTTCTCCAAGCCCCTCCCACCATCGCAGGCGACTATTAAAGGGGCCGCGGGCGGAGAGAGACGGAAGGAGGCGCAGGCAAGCGGGAGGTTGGCTGGTGTTCCGGAGGCTTCCAAGGTACGGTGTGTCATGCGGCTGGCTTGTTGAAGACCTCTTTTTCATCGCTGAAAATTAGATTCATTCTAAACGTGGAGTGGCGCCTGTATTATATAGGGATGTAAATCATTCCATGTTATGTGAAGGCAGGGGATGTTCTTTTATGACAATCTGGAAGCCTTGAGAGTAACTTCGTGAGTTCAGTCTCATCACTCGTTGAGGAGGAAGAGGATTATACAGGAAATAGTATGTTACTATCTGTCCCCTGCCACGCGTTGCTGTGGCCCAGTCCGGTGATCTGGGAAATAAAGTAATGAGAAAGTGTTGGTTTCTAATATATGGAATTTCTTTATGCTTGTTGGGTAAACAGTATTTCTTGCTGTTTCTTTGTCAGTGTTGATGTGGATAGTGTTTGATTTGCCTACTCTGGAACATGCAACGTATCATTGCCCTTTCAAATCTATAATACTATATCTCTCTGTGTGTGAATCATATCTATCTATCTATATCTATGGCTGCATGGCTCTTTGTCAGGAGGGCTTTGATTACATTTCCTTGCCCCGGTGAAGGGAGTTGGACTGGGTGGCCTTAATGATTTTCTGTTGGTCATGGGGGTTCTGTGTGGGAAATTTGCCCCAATTCTGTCGTTCGTGGGCTTCAGAATGTTCTTTAATTGTAGGTGAACTATAAATCTAAGTAACTACAACTCCCTAATTTCAAGGTCTATTTCCCCCAAACTCCATCTGTGTTCATATTTGGGCATTTTGGGTATCAGTGCCAAGTTTGGTCCAGATCCATCATTGCTTGAGTCCACAGTGCTCTCTGGATATAGGTGAACTACAACTCCCAAACTCAAGGTCAATGCCCACCAAACCCTTCTAGTATTTTCTGTTGGTCATGGGAGTCCTGTTGGTTCAGTTGGTCCTGTTTGGTTCAGTTCCATCATTGGTGGAGTTTAGAATGCTTTTTGATTGTAAGCAAACTATAAATTCCAACAACTACAACTCCCAAATGACAAAATCATATTTTTGAGTGATGATCATTCCTTGGGTGAGTACGTGTCTTGTGGCCAAATTTGGCAACAATTCATCCAGTGGTTTTTGAGTTAATCCCACAAACGAACATTACATTTTTATTTGTATAGATTGTTATTATAGAAACATCAAATGTGCTGTGATGTCATTTTTTTATATACAACATTAAAATACAAATCTTAAACTTACCACTATTGCAGGTAAATGTTTGTATTTGCTTATATTGACAGGATCTGTGTAGTTGTTCAAAAGTCAGGCTCCAATTAAACTGACATTACAGCACATTTGATGTTTCTATAATAACAATAACATAGTATTTCCTGTATACTCTGTTATGTAGATATCTGTGTTCAAAGTATGAGGAAAAGGAACATGGCATTTGTGTGAAAAGGTTTCCCATCAAATAACAGGAGTGGAGAATAAGTCAAGATGAGCCTATGAAGTAAACCTTGGTTAACTGTGAGTTTTCTGGGCTGTCTGGCCCTGTTCCAGAAGCATTCTCTCCTGATGTTTCACCCATATTTATAGCAGACACATCCTAAGAGGTTGAGGGGTCTGTTGGAAACTAGGCAGGTGGGGTTTATATATCTGTGGAAAAACAACTTGTTGGTTTGAGGCAAGTGTGAATAGCCACCTTGACTAGCAGTTAATGGCTGTGTAGCTTCAAAGCCTGGCTGATTGCTGCCTGGTGGATCCTTTTTTGGGAGTGTTAGCTCGCCCTGATTGATTCTTATCTGGATTTCACCTGCTTTTTAAATGTTGTTCTTTATTTACTGTTTTGAATTTAGACTTTATAAATATTGGTAGCCAGATGTTGTTCATTTTCATGGTTTCCTCCTTTCTGTTGAAATAATAATAAATTTTGATTTTTGTGCTGCTGTGGGTTTTTCGAACTGTATGGCCATGTTCCAGAAGCATTCTCTCCTGACGTTTCGCCCGCATCTGTGGCAGGCAAACTCAGAGGTTGTGAGATCTGTTGGAAACTAGGCAAGTGAGGTTTATATATCTGTGGAATGTCCACAGAGGGAAAAAGAATTCTTGTCTGTGGGAGGCAAGTGTGAATGTTGCAGTTGGCCACCTTGATTAGCATTGAATATAAACCCCACTTGTCTAGTTTCCAACAAACCTCATAACCTCTGAGGATGGCTGCCATAGTTGTGGCGAAACATCATGAGATAATGCTTCTGGATCATTGCCATACATCCCAGAAAGCTCACAGCAACACAGTCATTCCGACCATAAAAGCCTTCAACAACAAACCGTGGGTAGATCATAGAGATAGTAATCAAATATCCATATCAATCCATCACAGGTTATTTTGTTGTCAGAATACACCTCAACTATCTTATATGTTTTGTAGCAAAAGGAGGTTCTTTTGTGCCCAGGAGAACTCTGCAACAAGTCGAATAGTACATTGTATATTCTTTTATACAAAACAGTGGGAGGAAAATGTAATTCTTGTTACTGATAACTTCTAGCAGTTTAGTGGATCTTTTTGTGGAACAGCGTGAGGTGTAATGTCACTGCCGGTTTGTTTGAATTTTTCACATTCTTGATTTTTCTTTACTTGCATCCAAATGTCATGCATTCATATACATTTTACAGATCCTCTGTTTCCCTTTGTGGCTATTACAGTGAATGTAATTAAGTATTTGCTGGAAAAACAGAGAAACAAGATCATGAGACTGCCCTTAAGTGGTTGAAGTGTCAATTGGCAATAAGCTATTGATTGCAATCTCACAAAAAGTGTTATTTTATTTTTGGACAAACCAGTGCAGAATTGGCTTGTGTATGGATTTAAAAGTTTATTAACCCAATACATTAAGATGAAAAGGCTAACTTCTGAAACACCATATAACAGGCATGGGCAATCCATCCGGTAGGCTGTTAGGAATGGTGGGAGTTGAAATCCAAAACACTGGAGGGCCCAAGTTTGTCCATGCCTATAAGAAGTTAGGTGTAAGTTTTGTTCTTTGAGGTTGGCATTTTGCAAGTTTAGTTTTTCCTAGATTCACACAAATCCTGTTGTGGGTGTGTTGTCGAAGGTTTTCATGGCCGGAATCACTGGGTTGCTGTGAGTTTTCTGGACTGTATGGCCAAGATCCAGAAGCATTCTCTCCTGACATTTTGCCCACATCTATGACAGGCATCCTCAGAGGTTGTGAGGTCTGTTGGAAACTAGGCAAGTGAGGTGTGTGTGTGTGTGTGTGTGTGTGTGTGTGTGTGTGTGTGTGTGTGTGAAATGTGTCCAGGGTGTGAGAAAGAATTCTTGTCTGCTTGTGGCAAGTGTGAATGTTGCAATTCTCCACCTTGATTAGCATTGAATAGCTTCAAAGCTTGGCTGCTTCCTGTCCGGGGGAATCCTTTGGTGGGAGGTGTTAGCTGGCCCTAATTATTTCTTGTCTGTAATTCCCCAGTTTTTTTAGTGATGCTCTTTATTTAGTGTCCTGATTTTGGTGTTTTTTAATAGCCAGATTTTGTTTATTTTCATGGTTTCCTCCTTTCTGTTGAAATTGTTCACATGCTTATGGATTTCAGTGGCTTTTCTGTGTAGTCTGACATGATGGCTGTTAAGAGTAGTCCAGCATTTCTATATTCTGAAATAATACGTTGTGTCCAAGTTGGTTCATCAAGTGCTCTGCTATGGTTGACATTCCACAGATATATATACCATACTTGCGTAGTTTCCAACAAAACTCACAACTCATACCCTGAATATTTCACACACACACACACACATATACATACCTCACTTGCCTAGTTTCCAATAGACCTCACAACCTCTGAGGATGCCTGCCATAGATGTGGGTGAAATGTCAGGAGAGAATGCTTCTAGAGCATGACCATACAACCCAGAAAACTCACAACAACCCTCTGTTGTGAGTGTTTGGGGAAATCCAGATTATTTAGCTCCAGTGTAAAAGATGGAAGAGACTTTCAGATAAACACAGAAGTATCACAGCCAGCATCTTACATCGGGTTGTCTTAATGTTGATACTAAGTACTTCTCATTTCATCATTACCGCTGTTAGTACTATGTTTATTTATACCCCACTGCCTCTGTACAAAAAAGACTCAAAGCGGCATTTAATATTATACCAGCTTTCCATTTCCTTCCATTCACTCTGTCAGAGCTTCTCTGTGTGTGATTCAATCCAATGGGACAGATTTGGAGGTCCAGAAAAAGGACAGCGTTTGCCACTTGCACCTATAGCACTGGTGGAAGAACACCTTTGGATTCCACCTTCTGTACAAACGTTTTTTATCCTCTTTAAGCAATTGATATGAATGAACTTACGGCAGATCCATAGTTCAGTGTATAAAGCACATGGTTATTTAGCAGTTGAATACGAGACAATTTTTAAACTGCCATAAGAATACCATCTTGCACAGTTTCCTTTTAACACATTCCACTTGTGGAAGTATAGGGAAGTCATTGGAAATTGCATGCTCAAAAGCGGTATTTAAGTTGTTTGCCGATCAACAGTGTGAATTGCTTATTTGGCACAAAACCATGTTATGGCTGCAGCTTCTGTGTTTCAATTGCAGGAGACGAATGGTTTCATTCTGTCTAGATCTGCACTGCAGTAAGACACATTTAAAAAGATTATAGTGAAGCCTGTAGGGAAAAGCAAAACAGAACAATATTTAAGAATATGTTTTCCTAAATCCAGAATGTTCTAGATGAGGAAGCCATTCATATAGCATAAGTGAAAAGATGGTTTGTGTGTATGAGTACATACTTAAGAAAATTTATATAATACTCAAGAAACTTTGCAAAAGTATTACACTGAATAACATCCTATTTTGTACAAAGCTTCTAGTGATTGGCTTATCTGCTTCTGCTGCCTGTATATTACCCCACAGCCTGTTTCATTAGCATGCTTGTTCAGTTTTCTCCTGCCCACATCATGTTCTGTAGTGAGAGCTTTGTTTTAAGGAGTCTTTAAACTATACTGTTTTTTTAATTATTATTTTCTAAAATAGAGTGAACTGCTCCTCTTGAAATTCTTTTTTTCAAAAAAATGGACCAAGTAGAAGACACATGTAAAAGAGTTCTCCTGGAGCCATACCACTATCTACTTCAACTACCAGGTACCACTTGATTCCTTGATTTTAGCATTGGTTGGTAAATAGTATCTCCGCCTTGACCTTAGCAATCTCTTTGAGTTGTGAAAATAGGTATAGCATTTATTTCTCAGCTTTCAAACTTAAAAGTTAAATATTATTTATCTTAAGTAAGGGTCTTACTTTTCTGTTATCTCTGTCATATTGTCTGCATTTTCATTTTTTTACAAGCGTTATTGTATGGATAAGAAACATGCCATGAAAATGTCAATAAAAAGCAATTATTTATATGCTCTTGCCTTTTGGAAGTGGTTGGTTGTTATTATTCTACTTCATTGATATTCTTTTACTATTTTATGTTAGTTTTAATTGTATGAAGTAAAATTCTGACATGATCTGCTATTATGTCTGACTAAAGCTAAAGTTGAAGAGCTTTCGGGATCAAAGTGGAACTGATACTGTTTCCTTAGCAAAAGTCCATTTTGATTGGCCCCTTCTTTCTTTCTGTTGACTCTATTTAGGTCAGCCTTTGATTTACAATTTATGTGGCAGATGGAACTTTTAATATGCTCTCATTTGTGTGTTTTAGTTGTGTTTTAAACATTTGTGCTGATAGGTTTTGAGTTGTACTTTGTTTTTAATTGGATGTAAACTGCCTTGAATCCTGTGCAAGAATAACAGCAGGAATAACTAAAGTAATGCAATAGATATAAGAGCAGTTGCTTTCAAAGAGGGAGATTTCAGCATGGAATTACAATTCCATGGTTAAAAAAGTGCACAATCTGGCATGCAACATTTATACAACTTTGCTGTTGCTACTAGTCAGAGAAACATTTTGCTAATGTGTATCAAATTTTCAGTCTCTAGTTCTAAAAACATTGAGCATATTTGATTGGAAATACTTCCAACTTTGTTTGATGGAACTTATAAGTAAATCTACTTAGAGTTTTAGCCTTGACTTTCAAATAATGTAGTAGCCATTGGAGCTCCCGGTGGTGCAGTGGGTTAAACCGCCAAGCTGCTGAACTTGTTGATTGAAAGGTCGCAAGTTCGAATCTGGGGGGTGGTATGAGCTCCTGTTGTTAGGCTCAGCTTCTGCCAACCTAGCAGTACGAAAACATGCAAATGTGAATAGATCAATAGGTACTGCTTCAGCGGGAAGGTAACAGTACTCCATGCAGTCATGCCAGCCACATGACTTTGGAGGTGTCTATGGACAACGCCGACTCTTTGGCATAGAAATGGAAATGAGCACCAACCCCCAGAGTCAGACACGACTAGACTTAATATCAGGGGAAAACCTTTGCCTTTACCTAGCAGTCATTCATGATCCAAACAAAAATATGTGCAGTGGTTGTGAGAGGTGCATGACCAAAGTTGTAGATTACTTGGCAATATATATTTAACCCCATTAAGTAGATTAACCTAAAATCCCATTTGCTGGCATAATTATGTAAGAGACAGTGTAACTTCTTGTTGTGTGCCTTTGAGTCACTTCTGTGGCATTTCTTAAGGTGAACATATTGCAGGGGTTTCTTGGCATAATTTGTTCAGAGCCTTTGCCTTTCTCTGAGACTGAGAGGTTTGACTTCTCCAAAGTCACACAGTGGGTTTCCATGACCAAACAGGGAGTTGAATCCAGGTTTCCTAGCCCAGCATTTACAACACTGTATCGATAATAGTCACTACAGCAGAGGAAAAAGGCTTGTGGGAGTTGCAGTGAAAAGGTAAGGGCAATAGTCCCGAAAACCATATTTTCAAGGAGATAAAGCTGCTCTGCTTATTGCACAATGTTACATAGAATCATGAAGTTGGAAGAAACTACCAGGGCCATTGAGTCCAATGCCCTGCCATGCAGGAAAACACAAAGCACTCCTGATGATGTTTGTCAACACTTCCGTATATATTGACCACCAAAATCTTCATTTTATGTGCACCAAGTGATGCACAAATACTATAAATAACATAACAGTGGAAAATGGTGCACGGATTACACCAGTTCTGACAGAAAGTTATTCACAAAACCTTCAAAGAGTCTTATGGCTCTTCAGACTGACAAAATTGATATACAATATAAGCTTTCCATGAACTTAAGTTTACTTCATCAGATGTATCAGATGGGGGTTGCCTGCAACCTTATCCAAGTGAAATTGTTTATAGACTCAAGCCCTGCAAAGGTCTTTGTTGTTTTGAACATTATGCCAAACATGCAAAATATTAATTAACTATCCTCTTTTACCTTGTAGCAATAGCTGTAACAAGTTGCTTCCCAGTTCTGGATTATAGTAGAACAAGGTGTGGTCCTTTAATTTGGTGTTCTGATAAGTTCTTTCTAAGCATAACAGATTAAGGCCACACTTTAATATCCTGAAATACTTAAAATACTTGTAAAATGAGGTGTGCTAACAGTCAGTGAAATTGTGGAGCAACATGTAGAGAAGTCATAGACTTGTTGTATCTTAGGGCTTTGTAATCGTATCTTCACAAAGACTCGGAGCAAAGTGATGCCAACTGCAACTAGGCCAGAGAACATTGTACTTTGATCCGCCCCATAGCTCAAAAATACCTGTTCTAAACTTTGGAAACAAGCAACATTTTCATGTATTTGAATAATTCGAACATAAAATTCAGCCCTCCTAGTGAAGACTACTTCTAGTGAAGTCCAGTGCATTGGCTGAGTAAGACAATTTGGATACTTCAACAACTTTTGTATTTTTTCGTTATTAATTCCAACATTTTTAATTTGCAGGTAAGCAAGTGAGAACTAAACTATCCCAAGCATTTAATCACTGGCTGAATGTTCCTGAAGATAAGCTACAAGTGAGTTGCAGCCAAAGTTAAATAGATTTGCTAGTAAATACATGTATTCTTTTTAAAATTACAATTACAGCCAGTCCCCGAGTTACAAACATGTCACTTACAAATGACTTACAGTTATGAACTGAGGTGAGACAACAGGAAGTAAAAGAAATCTACCCCTCGGAAGAGGAACTCGCCACTGAAAGAGTTATCATGGGAAAAGGTGTCTTAGCTGAAGCTTTCTCACCAGTCTTTGATTCCATAACAAGCCAAATTTTTCAAAAATCAATTATCACAGGGACAGAAAGTGATGTGAAATCTTCTAAAAAGGCACAGACAGCAAAACAACCACAGTGGTGTTAACCCTTCCCCATGCTATCTAAAGCAAATATAGATTTATATGTATATATTGGGCTGGAGTTACACTTTAAAAATGTACCTGTTCTGACTTATAAACAAATTTGGTTTAAGAATAAAGCTACAGAACCTATCCTGTTCATAACTTGGGGACTGCCTGTATAGAATTGATATGAAGCATGGCTGACATATTTTATCTGATTACCTTCTTTAGTGAGTAACAACATTTTGGCCATTGTTTCTGCTCTATGAACATTATTAAATGCATAGAAATGCAGCATCTCAGTTTTCCAAAATGCCAGAGAGCTTCATGTTTGTACCCATCTTTGAAAGTAAAGAACAGTTTAAGCATTTTTTAAATTTTATGTGCAAGTCCTAATATTTTGTTCAGCATATCGTTGAGAAAAACACGCACAAAGCAGTTTGCAGTTATACAATAGAATAGTAGCAAAACCAAAATATGCAACAAGAAGTCAGAAGGAAATAAAATGGTTTATTTTTAGAGACAGTGAGACCAGCATCTAATGTTTCCTTAAAATTGGCAGCACATGAGATACTTTAATGAAGGGCCAAAATGTCCTCACAAAAAAGCACAGTATCCATTAGTAACCTGTCTAACTTTTGATTGGCCAAGGATTGCCACAGAACAACTTCATAGAGATGTTACTGAGTTGGGCAGAAGCTAAAAGAACAGGTGGGATTTTATGTAAGCTTCCATTCTTCAGGCCAAGTACTATTCTGACTGGATTACAGTCCCCATGCCTAAGTGTTAACAGCCTTGAGGGAGAGGTAGGGTCTCCCTCCACATGGCAATGCAATAAAGATTAAAGGAAGAACCTCTCCCTTAAGCCCTCTGTGGGCATGAGGAAGCTTGCTTGATTTGCATCGGATATATTGCTGCATGTTCTTGGAGAATTCTGTGTATGCCAGAGGATTTAGGAAGGAAGCTGGCTAAAGCCATAAATAACCTGGCAAGCCAAGCCAGTACTTGTGGCTCTTGCATTTGCCTGATCTTGAAGGAAAGGAAACACAAGAAAGGTGAAGGTGCAAACCAGGTAGTTTTAACTTTCCTCTTCCTTAGACATATGCCACAAGTTGGATTTTTACTTCATAATCTTATACCACAGTACAGATACCAGAGTATGGGATGTTACTTTCCTAATTTAGAGGAAAGGGGAATGTGTAAATTTTGGTATTGTGTTTTTAAGAGACCTAGATGAGGTGGGTGGTGGTGAAAGTTAAGTCATTTTTTTTATTCCTTCTCTGAAACACTTAAAATTGTCTTCACAAAAGTGATTTCTACATAAAGTGTATCCTTTTGACACCTGTACATTTTGTAATAAAGATACTGCACAGAATGTATTCTATGTGATTTATCAGCACACACAAGAACAGAGTTTAGAAATCAAGCTTCTAATGGCACTTGATGCAAATGACATGGGCAAACTTTGGCCCTCCGGTTATTTTGAACTTCAACTCCCAGAAAATCCCAGCCAACTTACCAGCTGTTAGGAATTGTGGGAGTTGAAGTCCAAAACACTTGGAGGGCCAGAGTTTGCCCGTGCCTGTTTTAGACAATTAGAATGAAAGCTTGATAATTCTAAATAATTTAATAAAACTGCTAAGAAAGTTTGAAAGCAGAAATATATTAGAAGTTGAGGTTAATACAATGATATTAGAAAATTCAAAGATAACTGTTTTATAAAAGCAATTTATTGCAAGTTGGAATGCAAACTTGGTTGTTTTTCTCTTTTTTATTAGGTTATCATTGAAGTGACAGAAATGTTGCACAATGCAAGTTTGCTTATCGATGACATTGAAGACAATTCAAAACTACGACGTGGTTTTCCAGTGGCTCACAGCATTTATGGAATACCATCTGTTATAAACTGTGCAAATTTTATATATTTCCTTGGTTTGCAAAAGGTTTTGACTCTTGACCATCCAGATGCTGTTAAAGTGTTCACTCGCCAGCTTCTGGAACTCCATAAGGGCCAAGGCTTGGATATTTACTGGAGAGATAATTACACTTGTCCAACAGAATCAGAGTATAAAGCCATGGTTCTGCAAAAAACGGGTGGCCTTTTTGGACTGGCTGTGGGTCTTATGCAATTGTTCTCAAACTACAAAAAAGATTTAAAACCACTCCTTAACACCCTTGGGCTCTTCTTCCAAATTCGTGATGACTATGCAAACTTGCATTCCAAAGAATATAGTGAGAACAAAAGTTTTTGTGAAGACCTAACTGAAGGGAAGTTCTCATTCCCAACTATACATGCCATATGGTCCAGGCCAGAAAGCACACAGGTGCAGAATATCCTGCGACAAAGAACTGAAAATGTGGACATTAAAAAATATTGTGTACATTATCTTGAAAATGTTGGTTCCTTTGAATACACTCGTAAAACATTACAAGAACTTGAGTCTGAAGCTTATAAACAAATTGAATTGCTTGGAGGTAATCCTGAGCTTGTAGCTTTAGTCGAATACCTAAGTAAAACATTCAGGGACACTGAAAATTGACATAATTGTTAAGCAGGCTTCAATATTCAAATAATCAGGAAAACAAAACCATTTTACTATCTATTTTTGCTGTCTATGGAATGGCTTTAAAGGATATTTTAAGGGTAATGGGGGATTGTAGGTGGCCTAAATAACTCTTTTTTTCAGCCTATCGTGCAATATTGCATATTGTTATACGCTTCCACTGAAATAAAGCTGCCAAACCTTGCTTGAAAGCATTCTTGTATTATCCAATTTAATTGTGGATTCTTTCTTTCCTTATTGGTAGACACAGTTCACAAATCTTCCCAAAGAATATGAAGTTCAGGTTCTGTTCTGTTGCATTTGTCACATTTCTTTTCCTGTAGCCTTGGATCAATGGTTTTAATACAGAAATATTGCCAAATTGGTACATTTAGTGAAGCAAATCAATCCATGGTCTAAACAGTAATTGAGAGAGGCCATATGAAGCTTCCGACTGAGCAGTCAGTCATGTAGAAATGGGCATGGATTCAGCTACAGAATTCAGCTACAGGAAGACTTCTCCTTGCATGTTGGTAATAACCCACCATCCATGACCCTCTGAAAAGTTGACTCTTTAAAGATCCGGATATGGGAAACATTGGGGGAAATCTGTTGGTGAAACTACAGTTTTCCTTGATGGGTAACCAGACCCTGTTCAAAAGCTACAAGATGAAGACTGAGGGAAAGGAGATCTTTTATGGAAGAAAAGATAAGGATAAATGTTGTGTTTGAACTGGAAGATTATTTCATCTCCATTTTAGTGACATTCCAAACATGCCTTTTAAACGTGTGCCAGATATAGAAACAACTTTTTGAAAACATGTAATAAAGGGTATAGTTAAGCCAAAATTATAAATGTTGAGAGCCTTGTAACATACATTAATGTGGTAGTTCATATTTCTATACAGGTGATTGTGAACAGGATGTGTTAATCACTGATCCAAGTGAAGAGAGGAAAAGAGAATCTGCTCTGGCTCATATTGTATACAAAGGAAGGCAGAGACAAAGACAATAACTATATTTTGTAAGACTAGGATAAGTAAAGGGTAAAGGTTTTCCCCTGACATTAAGTCTGGTCATGTCCAACTCTGGGGGTTGGTGTTTATCTCCATTTCTAAGCCAAAGAACTGACATTGTCCATAGACACGTCCAAGGTCATGTGGCTGGCATGACTGCATGGAGTGCTGTTACCTTCCTACTGGAGCAGTTCCTATTAATCTCACATTTGTATGTTTTCAAACTGCTAAGTTGGCAGAAGCTGGGGCTAACCAGCGGGAGCTCATCCCGCACCCTGGATTTGAAGCTCCGACCTTTTAGTCAGCAAGTTCAGCAGCTCAGCGGTTTAACCCACTGTGCCACCGGGGGCTCCTAAGACTAGGATGAAGAGTACTAAGTATCCATATTACAAATAGCTGTCTCAGTTCATAATGGCTTATGCCTCTCAGGGCCCTTCCAGACAGACCCTTTTATTCCAGGATCTGATCCCAGGCTTTCTGCTCTAAACTGGATTACATGAGTCCGCACTGCCAGATAATCTGGGATAAACAGAAAACCTGGTATCAAATCCTGGGATAAGGGGCCTGTCTTGAAGAGCCCTCAGAACATGGAAAAAGTTCACTTTAGAATACAAGCAGAATCCTCAGTGTTGCAGCTGGCCATGCTGGTTGCTGCTGACTTTTCTTATAAAGGCTTTGGGGATTATCACTTAATTAAAGTTTATTGACAAAATACATTACACATGTCTTCAATGCAAAGCCATCTCTGCTGTATGGACAGGAAAACCAATTAACTTAATGAGTCAGCTAGACTTTCCTGACTGCATTGAACAACTTGTGCAAAGAGCCCTGGCAGCCTGCCCTCCCATCTTATTCTATTCTCACATACCCAAGACTTTCATGATCGGAGTCACTGGGTTCCAGAAGCATTCACTCCTGCTGTTTTGCCTACATCTATGGCAGGCATCCTGAGATGTTGTGAGGTCTGTTGGAAATACAGCCCGAAATGTCAGGAGAGAATGCTTCTGGAACATGGCCATACAGCCCAAAAAACTTACAACAACCCAGTTTTATGGCTCTGTTTGATGGTTTGTATAGTTTTTAAGGTTTTAAATTTATAGTTATGTTATTGTTTTAGTTGTAAAGTATTGTAACGTTGTTTTAATATGATTGTGAAGACATTGAATCTTTGCAATTTATTATGTCGGAAACCGCTTTGAGTCCCTCTAGAGAAAAGCAGTATAGAAGTGCAATAAATAAATAAATAAGGCCCCTTCTACGCTGTCATATAAAATCGAGATTATCTGCTTTGAGCTGGATTATCTAGCTGTGAAGAAGGGCCTTAGTGTTGAATGAAATGCTGTTAGTTCATCCTGGTGAACACAAAAATTAGAACTTCGGATATAGAAGAATAGAAACAGGGCAGGATCAGGAAACATTTGAGACCCTTCACATTGCTGCTTCCATCAGTTAATCATGATACAGATGGTAGTCTAGCAAAATCTGGAGAACCCCACACTTCAGAGCAGGCATAGGCAAACTTTCTAACTAGGCGGCCTGCATGCTAGCACTCCCTGCTAGGAGGTCTGGCTGCCCAGTGATGGAAGGAGGAAAGAAAAAGGGAATGGAGGGAGGACAAAAGGGAAGAAAGGAAGGAGAACGAGAGGGAAGAGAGGAAGGACGAAAGGGTGGAAGGGAAGGATGGAAGGAGGAAGAGGGAGGTAACCAGGAACAGGCCTGTAGCCAGGATTTTGATTGGGGGGGGGGGGGGGTGAGTCTGAGTGAAAGAGGGTCTACCCTAGCAAACCTTTTGTATCGTTACCCCAATACCCCCATGCATATGGGATATATTGAGCATGGTGATCAGATCATGATATGAATAAACATAACAGTTTAAATAATGCACCAGTAAGGCCTTTTCGCGAACCACCATGAGTATTTCGGCCAGGAAGGAGAAAGAGGGAGAGGGGGAGGGAAGGAAGAAGGGTGGAAGGGAAGGATGGAAGGAGAAAGGGGGAAGTAATCAGGAAGGAAAGAGAAGGAAGGAAGGAAAGGCAAAAGGGAAGGAAGGAGAAAGAGGGAGAGGGGGAAGGAAGGAAGGACAAAAGGGTGGAAGGGAAGGATGAAAGGAGAAAGAGAGGTAAGGAGGAAGGAAAGACAAAAGGGAGGGATGGAAGGAGGAAGGAAAGAAGGAAGGGAAGAAGAGACGGATGGAAGGAAGGAAAGGAAGGGTAAAGGAAAGGGAGAAGGAAGGAAACACAAAAGGGGAAGAAGTAAGGAGAAAAGTGAGGGAAGGAAGGAGGTGAAGGAGGAAGGACAAGAGTGGAAGGAAGGATAAGATGACAAGAGAGGAGGGCCTGAGAAAACAGCCCAAGTGGTGAAAAACCTTTACTTTCTGATGGTTCAGTGCACATACAGACATTGTGTTTCATGCACAAAATTATCAAAAGTATTCTACTGCACATATTTTTGTTTGATTTTTATTATTCAAAGAATGTGTATAGGATTAACTCCAGTTTATATGTATAAAGTGTACATGAAACATACATAGATTCTGAGTTTAGACCTGTCTCCTACCTACAGGATCTCTCATTACGTCTGCATATGCAATTCTAGGCATTCCCAAATCAGTAATACTAATAACAACCTAACATCCGAAACTGTTCTGGTGCCAAGCATGTGTCGGATAAGGGACACTCAGCCTGAAATCTAGCCCTCCTTACCGCTGCAGCATGTCCAAATAGCCCTGGGGCCTCGCGGGCTGCCCTTCCGCCTTTGCCAACGGCACTTGCCCGCTTCCTCCCAAGACCTGCAACGTCTCAAACGGTTGCTAGTGAAGGAGGCGGGGCTTCCTGGAAGGCCCCGCCCACGAAGGGAAGGGCGAGCTCGCGCGCGGGGGGGGGGTGAGAGCGCATGCCCCATAGAACAACTGCGGTGACGTCATTGTTTTTAACCTGCTCCTGTGGCGACGGGTTGCGTGTTTTGAAGCTTCGGAAGAAACCGTCGCTTGTCGTGCAAGGGATGAACTCGACTCGCACGCGGGGAAAAAAAAAAAAAACAGCAGTCAGTTGAAGTAGCCAGTGGGAGCTGGTGGCCTGGCCGTCCTTCCCTGCGATGCCGTCATCTGTTCCAGTTGAGCCACAGCCGTGTTTTGTTGTTGCTGCTTTGCCTTCAAGCCACAGCTAGCTGATGGCAAACCTACCAAGATGTGTTCCAAGGGGGTCTTGCCCCCGCCTGCCTGCCTTTCTCTTGAGGCCGAGAGAGTGTGGCCTGCCTACAGCCCCTTTTCCAAGGCTCGATGGGGATTTGAATCCTCGTCTGCAGAGTTGCAGTCCAGCATGGATGGCAAAACACTATTCCACAGATATACAGTATATAAACCTCACTTGCCTAGTTTCCAAAGACCTCACAACCTCTGAGTGAAGAGAGGGGGACCAGAGGACAGCTCCACCTTGTCTCCTGTGCTATGCTAATAATATAATGTAATGTAATATATTGTATACTAGCCATCCCCTGCCACACATTGCTGTGGCCCAGTCTGGTGATCTAAAAAATAAAGTAATCAGAAAGTGTTGGTTTCTAATATATGTAATTTCTTATGCTTGTGGGTAAACAGTATTTTTTTTTTTTTTTTGTTTGTGTTGATGTGGAGATTATCTGGTTTGCCTACCTCTGGAACATGCAACATATAGTCTTCTTTAGGGGTCCCTTTCAAATCTATGATACTCTATTCTTTTTGAACCTCCAGAGTGAGGCATGTAGCCGGGGGGGGAGGGGCTTGAGGGGCTTCAGCCCCCCCCCCCGGAAATTCTCATGGTGGTTCGCGAAAAGGCCTTACTGGTGCATTATTTAAACTGTTATGTTTATTCATATCATGATCTGATCACCATACTCAATATATCCCATATGCATGGGGGTATTGGGGTAATGATACAAAAGGTTTGCTAAGCTAGACCCTCTTTCACTCAGACTCAGCCCCCCCCCCCCCCCCCCCCGCATTGAAATCCTGGGTGTGTGAATCATATCTATCTATATCTATGGTTGAATTGCTCTTTGTCAGGAGGGCTTTGGTTATGTTGTCTTGCCCTGGTGCCTTAAGGCACCATTTCTCAACCTGGGGGTTGGGAACCCTGCGTAGGTCATAAAGGGGTGTCAGAGGAGTCACCAAAACCATTAGAAAACACAGAATTTTCTGTTGGTCATGGGGGTTCTGTGTGGAAAGTTTGGTTCAATTCTATCGGTGGAGTTCAGAATGCTCTTCAATTGTAGGTGAACTATACATCCCAGCAATTACAACTCCCAAATGTCAAGGTCTATTTCCCCCAAACTCCATCTGTGTTCATATTTGGGCATATGGAGTATTCATGCCAAGTTTGGTCCAGATCCATCATTGCCTGAGTCCACAGTGCTCCCTGGGTGTAGGTAAACTACAACTTCAAAACTCAAGATCAATGCCCACCAAACCCTTCTACTGTTTTCTGTTGGTCTTGGAAGTCCCGTGTGCCAAGTTTGGAGTTCAGAATGCTCTTTGATTGTAGGTGAACTATAAATCCCAGCAACTACAGCTCCCAAATGACAAGATCGATTTTTTGAGTGATGGTCACTCATGGGGTTGTTAGGCGTATTCTGTCCAAATTTGGTGTCACTTCGTCCAGTGGTTTTAAAGTTATGTTAATCCCACAAACAAACATTACATTTTTATTTATATAGATACATATATTTATAATATTGTAATGTAATACAATTCTACAACTGATAATATATTATAATTATATATTTTATATAACATGCAATATTACTAATATTACAATATAATGGTATAGCACAGTATATATATCTTGTAAGCCGCTCTGAGTTCCCTTCAGGTTAGAAGGGTGGCATATAAATCTATATAAATAAAAATGTAAAGGACATACACCTACCAGCTTTAAGTTTTGCATCATAGAAAAAAATCACACTAAGCCATATATGGATACTAAGAATTACCTTTTGCAAAGGGAAGCATTTTGGATTTTTAAGTTAAACACAGTTTTTCCTACCAGTCTTAACGATAGGCTGGACCTCAGCTGCTTTCTGTAATAAGCCCTATTATCCACCTTATGTACTTGTAATTTACATTCCAGCTGACTGTTTGTAATTAGCCTTGCCTTTAAATTCTTGCTACTGTGTAACTGCATTGCTCACTACTGAAGACCTAACTGTAGGGCCAGCTCGTCTCATGTATAATGTGAGTAATAATGTGTGTGTAGTCTATCTCATTGGAATGCATGTCATTATCACTGAATGTTTTTGGTTTGGGTGCCTTTTTTGGCATATCTATTATGTTGTTTATCACCTATTTAGGGGTATATGGTAAACCACCCACTTTCATAAAGAAGACAAATCCTGAAGAAGGGGAAGTCCTCCGAAACAAGGCAACCTCAACCCTGGGATCCTTGTCGTATTAGAATTTGGATTATATTTTGAACTGGATACCATTTGGACAGTATTTGAAGATATCTTACTTTCTCAAGGACTACGAGATAACTGTATTAGAATGTGGATTATATTTTGAACTGGATACCATTTGGACTTAATTTGGACAGTATTTGAAAATATCTTACTTTCTCAAGGACTACGTGATAACCTAGTAGCATTCAGTCTTGTTATTTTTTCGTGGTTCATATGCAGTGTATTTATACGTTTTATGTTAACACAGTTCTGTTTTGATAACGCTTTGCAGCTTGTATTGTGTTATTATTCTCATGTTGTGGCCCAGGTGCTTCATCTTTGTCTCTAATATCCTTCCCTCTAGTGAGCAGTCAGGCCTTATTTCCTGAAGTATGGACTGGTTGGATCTTGGGTTGTTGTAGGTTTTTCCAGGCTATATGGCCATGTTCTAGAGGCATTTTCTCCTGACGTTTCGCCTACATCTATGGCAAGCATCCTCCGAGGTAGTGAGATCTGTTGGAAGTAGGAAAATGGGTTTATATATCTGTGGAATGACCAGGGTGGGACAAAGGACTTTTGTCTGCTGGAGCTAGGTGTGAATGTTTCAACTGACCACCTTGATTAGCATTTGATGGCCTGGCAGTGCCTGGGGCAATCTTTTGTTGAGAGGTGATTAGATGTCCCTGATTGTTTCTTCTCTGTTGTTTTGCTGTTGTAATTTTAGAGTTTTTTAAATACTGGTAGCCAGATTTTGTTCATTTTCATGGTTTCTTCCTTTCTGTTGAAATTGTCCACATGCTTGTGGATTTCAATGGCTTCTCTGTGTAGTCTGACATGGTGGTCCAGCATTTCTGTGTTCTCAAATAATATGCTGTGTCCAGGCTGGTTCATCAGGTGCTCTGCTATGGACTGACTTCTCTGGTTGAAGTAGTCTGCAGTGCCTTTCATGTTCCTTGATCTGTGTTTGGGCAATGCTGCGTTTGGTGGTCCCTATGTAGACTTGTCCACAACTGCATGGTACACGGTAGACTCCTGCAGTGGTGAGAGGATCCCTCTTGTCCTTTGTTGAACAGAGCATTTGTTGAATTTTCTTGGTGGATCTGTAGGTGGTTTGTATGTTGTGTTTCCTCATCAGCTTCCCTATGCGGTGAGTGGTTCCCTTGATGTATGGCAAGAACACTTTTCCTCGTTGGATCTTCTGGTTGGATCTTCTCACGGTCCAAGGGACTCTCAAAATTTTTCTCCAACACCACAGTTCAAAAGCATCTATCTTCCTTCACTCAGCCTTCCTTATGGTCCAGCTTTCCTGTCTTCTAATTATGTGGCCAAAGTACTTCATCTCTGCCTGTAATGTCTGTTGTAAAATATCAAAACACTGAAGTCACTTTCAAATGTACTTTTGCAGCATCCTGAAATTCGTTGGAGCACTACGACTCCCAAAATGCATCGCGAGGGGGGGGGCGAGAAAATGGAAGAGAGGGCCTTATGACAGTGGGAGGAGCCCGCGCCGCGCAGGCGCACAAAGAGCTCCGGTGGCGCATTTCTCCCCATCAGGCGAAGGTGGCGACTGAGGCGGAAGGGGCCCGGTGGGTGGGGCCTAGTCTTCTCCCAAGAGCCGAAGAGGGTCGGAGCGGGGCCTGAGACCGGGAAAGGCGCCTTGCGGGGCGGCGGAGGAGGAGAGCGCGGTAGGTCGACACGCCTGAGGGCGAAGTGAGGCCGCACCCCGTCTCCCTTCCCTGGAAGAGGGGCGCCGAGTTTCCAGGCTCCTCCGCCTCCTCCATCTTCCCCTCCTTAGGCCCCGCCCACCTCCTTAGGCCCCGCCCACTTTCCGCCAGCTCCTATAAAAGGGGCCGAATGTGGGCGGGGACGGAAGTTAGGGAGAGGTTGGCTTGCTTATCGGTCTCTGTTTACTCTCTCCTCTGTGTCAGTCCTGAGGGTGTGTCTCTTTTCTTTCTGGGTATACATTTCGAAACGTTTCAGGAGAAAGAAAATAAGCCTTTGTAATTTAGAATAAGAACACTACATGGAAACAGTTCTAAGGGCCCTTCCACACAGCCCTATAACCCAGAATATCAAGGCAGAATGTCCCACAATACCTGCTTTGAACTGGGTTATCTGAGTACACACTGCCATATATTCCAGTTCAAAGCAGATAATGTGGGGTTTTATTTAGCTGCGTGGAAGGGGCCTAAGCGACAGTGCCGGAATATCTTTCAAAACAAGGTTTGTTGCCAAGCTAGTCTCTCTCTAAACATTTATGTAACTATAATTATGTAACTGCAGTGTGATCAAATAAACACAATCTGGAATATGAATACAGAGCCGCCAAAGATGAGGAATTGGATTGAAGACACTGTTTTTATAGACTTTTATAGTTTTTTATAGTTATGGTTTTTATATGTATTTAGGTTGTGATTTAAATTGTTTTAACTGACATTTGTGTTTTTATATACGGCATCTAATTGTTGTTGGTTTGTACACCTCCCTGAGTCACCTTCAGGCAGAAATGGACAAGATAAAAATGATGTAAATAAATAAAATAATGAATGGAATACAAGCCACATGTAAGCTGCCTTGATTCCCCTTCAGGGTAGAGAAAGGTGGGGTATAAAGATAGGATATAAATAAATAAATCTTGGCCTGTATAAAGCAAAATGACCCACGCCACACACCCCACCGCCTTCCCTCACCATATACACATAATGAGACTGCACTTTTAAATTTAAGGGAGATATGCAAGTGCAATAAGGGAGCCAGGAGGATCCCCCAAGTCAGCTGAATTTCTGGGAAATATGGGAAAGTTGATAATTATAATCCTTTGTATCCACCGGGTTTGACTACAAGGCCCCTCACGGATACCAAAATCTGTGGATGCTCAAGTTTGATTGAACTATTTTTCTACATCATTGTATACAGTGATGTAGCAAAATAACATCCAATATATGAAGGTAAAGGTTTCCCCTGACATTAAGTCTAGTTGTGTCCAATTCTGGAGGGTGGTGCTCATCTCATTTCTAAGCGGAAGAGCTGGTGTCCATAGACACCTCCTGGGGCATGTAACCAGCATGACTGCATGGAGTGCTGTTACCTATTGATGTACTCACATTTGCATGTTTTCCAACTGCTAGGTTGGCAGGAGCTGGGCCTAACAGCGGGAGCTCACCCAACTCCCCAGATTTGAACCGCCAACCTTTTGGTCAGCAAGTTCAGCAGCTCAGCAGTTTAACCTGCTGCGCCACCAGGGAAAATCAAGGTTTGCTTCTAGGATTTTTAAATATATATATACACACACACATATACTTTCATAGCATGAATAGTGGAATTCATGGGTGCAAAATCTATGGATGCCGAATCCGTGGAAATGGAGAGCCAAATGTATTTCCTTTATGCTTGGCATAATCTTTTATTTCTTCTATTACTGGCAGTGTAGGATTCTAGAGTTTGGTGTGGTTTTGTGAATATAACAGAGTTGTTGATCACCTTAAAGACAATCTATCTCATCTGATGATGAAGTCAGCAAAAGCATATTTTGAATCAAATCTGTAAAGTTCGTCCAAGAACCTTTGCTAGTTTTGCTGAAGCAGTCTAAAACAAGTACCCATTTCTTTGTTTTTTCATTGCAATCTGAACTTCCAAGAAAGGCAAAATAGAAAAAAAATCAATCTTGGATTTCTGCATACTTCACATAACATTGGTATAGTAATTTATGAAAAGCATTCTTTTTCATTCTTTAGATTTTTAAAGAAGTATCTTGACTTCTTGTTGTCTTGTGATGACCGGCAGCATTCCTCCTGATGTCATTGGGCGAAGAGTCCTCTGCAATGGGGACTATGGAACTGTTCTCTTTGTTGGCAGTGTTCCCCCTACAACAGGTAGGCTGTTTTTCTTTTCCCCACATACTACTATATGTTGAGACTAAGGAAATGATAGAGGGTTCCCTACAAAACTCTAAACTGTTTAAAGTTTAATTCCTCGTATTGGAATGTTCCATTCACAATGCATGTGAAACTCAACTACAAGACCAGAATCTAGGCTCTGCACTGTTACACCTTGTTTGAAGAAAGTTGAATATATGTCCCACTGGCAGGTGGTATATGGTGGTAGTGAGGTGGCATTTGCCATTGCTTTCTGTGTGAGACAAAGAATATGCAGATAATGTGAACAGAAGAATGAAAAATATAAATAGTTACTTGTTTACAGAACAGAAATCAAACTGCCGTAGTTTGAATTTACAGTTGTAGAAGAGTCTGTAGAATGGATAACTAAGTACATTTAAATTTTGGGGGCATCATAGAGAAAGAGAGATTGAGGAAGAAGTATATGGAAATTTTATGGATGTGCAAGGGAAGGAAAAGAGGTTAATATTGGAAAAGCCAGGTTAAATTTTTTTAAAAATTTCTACAGAACGGTAAGGTCCAAAAGCTGAATACTTGAATGTCATGTGAGATTCTGCAAAATCAAAACGTGCTTTGATTCAAATATGAATTGCATGCTCGTAGTTCAGTTATCCACAACTGATTTAGAAATTATGGTGTTAAATACTGTGTCTCTTCAACAGCAGTATGTCTGATATACTTTTGTAGTTTGACAATGGAAGAATCTCACAATGGAAGAAGCCAATTTATTGAACTAAAATTAACATTTGGATATATCACCCAATTAGTTAAATTATGTTGCAAACTGGATGTGTTTGAGAGTTGTTCCTCATTTTGATGGCAGAGTGACTAGTTTGGTAGTATTATTTATTTAATACTCAAGACTCTCAGGAACCAATTTTTGTTTTGAGCAGTTGTGTGGTCAATTGCATTATAAATTAGTTAAATGAGGTACTTGTCACTGTATACAAATTATTCCATTCCTTGAAGAATGGATGACTCTTACTTGAACATCTAATTCAAAGATACCAGATACTAACCTTTTGTGTAATATATGGGCTTGAAAACTTCATTTTGGTTGGATTTTTTGTTTCAACTTTAATTCATGTATTTTTATAATTATGCTAGGAGTTTGGCTTGGTGTGGAATGGGATAACCCACAAAGGGGAAAGCATAATGGGAGTCATGAAGGAATACAGTACTTCAAATGCAGGTGAGCGATCCTCGAAATATATATCACTTTTAGAGTAAATTGATTATCTTGCGGCAAAGAACACAGAGGAAAACTTCAGCAGAATTGGCATTGTACTCTTAAACTCTCACATTGAGAGCCAACTAACAGCCATTTACATATATTTAAGTTCACTTATCAGTATCAATAAAGGAGGAAGGAGGGAAGAGAAGGAATGTAGCATCACTTTTAAGATTAACTGGATTTTATTTTAGCTTTTGTGGATATACATTCTTTTTTGAAGATGCAAGCATACTTTCTCAAATCTGCCTCTAGTTCATGCTCTCATTTCCTTTTTTTTTTCTTAAAAAATACAATACAAACCTTAGCCATCTAAAAGATAATATCAAAAACTGTTTACAATTTTTATGGCTAGGACACAGGTTCCAATTGTGCTTCCCTTTGCTGTATATCTCGACTATTTACCCCTTGAAACCCCCCAGCCCGCCCACCCGCCCTTCCCACCCTCTTCCCACCTCCCTCCCACCCCCATCTAGGTTTACTTAAGTCAGTACATTGATTTAATTGTCTGGAAGGCCTGATTTAAAGTTCTGTACCTATCTTTTCCTTCCGTTTTGTCAATTAAACAAGACCATTTCCTATACCAAACTTTTTTTGACTGAATATTCAAATATTTATTTTTCTTTTCATAGATGAAGTAATTAATTAAATATTCAGAGAGATAAGACCACCAGGTTTTCAGGTCCCACCTTGTTTTATCTTTCCAACCTCTGACGATTGTGGCTTGTATAGCGGCTATCATAAATTTCAATATATCTGACTATTCGTTGTTCCCCTCCTTTACCTCTATGTTGAGGGACAGAAATCGATGCTCTCATTTCCTGCCCTTGGAGAAGAGATTTGGATGTGTTTGGACCAAGCACATAGATAGTTGGAAAACAAGGAATGACAAACCCAACCCTTGTTTTACTGAGACCCAAATTTATGAGGAATGGAAGAAGGAAGAACTTTGACCTTGTTCTAAGACTTTTGTAATGTTAGGGTGTTGTAATGTAATGTGTGAGTTTGGGTTGGAGAATATATGTGCAACTTGACTAGTTTATTAGTCTGATAAAGAAAGCATTGATCTGGCTTAGTCTAGTAGTATTTTACCACATCCGAACAAGATTAATTCCTATTGCATTGTACAAACTGGGAAGGACAGAGAAACATGGGCAGAACTTCTATTCTGGCAGGGGTGGAACTTAGAAAATACAATGAGAGAGTTATAATTTTTCTACTCTCTGTTTTGGTGCCTCGGCCACTTAGTCTGCTTTGGCTGTCACCTTGATTGTGCACATGCACAAATGTTCAAATATGGAAATGATAATAGTGACATCTTGCAAGGCTGTTGTGATAATTATAGAGAATATGTATGAAGCATAACATAAACATAGCAATGTAAATGTAATATATGCAGTAGTTCCTTCAAAGAGCTCGACATTCTGTATACAATTCTAGTACAAAACTCTACAAACGTTTCAAAACTATGACAAGGGAGTTTGTTTTGTTTTCTAAATACTTGCATTTTCTTTTAAGACACCCTTCAGGGGGATCTTTTATCCGTCCAAACAAGGCTAATTTTGGAGTAGACTTCCTTTCTGCTGTCCGTGAGAAGTATGGATTAAACGAAGATCAAGAAGATGCTGAGAGCAGAACAGAAACATCAATAGTAATTGGAAGGAGAACTGTGGAACCAATTGGATTTGATTCCATTAAAGAAAGACAAAAGCAAGTATACCTCCTGTGAAAATGGAAAGCATCAGAATGCTGACGGTATTATTGGCTCATTGATATTAGCAGTTATAGTGGGATATGCGCTTCCAGAACTGACTTCTGTGCTTTTGTTGTGTCTACCTGTATTCATTCTAACAAAGTTTATACTTTTATGTGTGTGTCAGAAGTGACTTGAAAAACTGCAGGTTGCTTCTGGTGTGAGAGAATTGGCCGTCTGCAAGGACATTGCCCAACGGACACTCTGATATTTGATGTTTTACCATCCTGTGGGAGGCTTTTCTCATATCCCCACATGGAAAGCTAGAGCTGAGATGGGAGCTCACCCTGCCCTTCGGATTTGAATTGCCAAGCTGTTGGTCAGCAGTCCTGCCAGCACAAGAGTTTAACCCATTGTGCCACCCAGGGGTCAGATGTTATGACCCCACAAGACTTGAGTTCAGAGTTCCATTAGGTTCAGCATGGCTTGTTCCCAAACAGATTTTAACATGATTGCAGTTTATAATCTATACTAAATCATACAATCCACAGCTGTATCTTAGTATTCCAAATGTCATAGTAACTCTGTAGCCATTACCTGTATGCAAATTTTCTTTGTTTATTGTCATTTTTTTCTTTCTCGGACATCTGCATTGAAGCACATCCTTTTGGAAATCTTTCTTTAGAGTTTGAATGTGTAGGTTTTTCTTTGAAGAAACAGCATCATTGTTAACAGATCATAGCACTATGTAGCAACATTAGAAAATATGTCAGTTCCTGGCTTGAAAGTGTTGTTTCCTGTTTAATTGTATGGTACTTACTTTAAAAGTCGTTGTTATACTCCAGAAACTTCATTTTTGTGTTGAACTGTAAAACTATAACAAAATGTGCTGTAGGATCTCATGCAAAAAGATTGTTTTGCAGTTTAATACACCTTCTCCATGTTTTTATGATAGAACCAATTAGGAAATGACATTTATAACCCAGGAACAAAAATCATGTTACATAATGATAATCCAATCAAAGTAGAGAGTTGCTTTACAATGGAAAATGCATCTGGATTCATCCCTTCCCTTGTCCAAAATCTGGAAATTTGTTTCAGCTAATTCTACAGATGAGATTCGAACACAGTGGTATTGTTGAATATTGTTGTGTATCTGTCTTTTGTTTGGATAAAACCTACAAGAACAAATAATGATAATGTTGTTATTATTATTATTATTATTATTATTATTATTACTATTATTATTACTATTTGCTACCATCACTCCTCATGGCTTGAGGTGGGATACTACCCAGTCAAAACACATCAACATGAAATATCCACACCAAAACAACATGGGTCAAAGATTTAAATGCAGCAGCAATAGAATACAAATCCAAAACTCATGGTTCCAAGTTGACAGGGTTGACCTGCCAGAAAAAATGCGTCTTCAGTGATTTCTTAAATTCTGACAGTGCATTTAGCTGTTGGATCTCTTCTGGCTCAAATTATGTGGGGGAAAGGCATCTGGTTTGTGTGCAAGAATGAGAATTCCATATGTTCAAATTCCTTTTTGATCAGGTTAGATATAGCTATCATGGTTTAAGAAACATAGGCCCCTTCTACACTGCCATATAGTACAGATTGTCAAAGCAGATAATCCACATTATCTGCTTTGAACTGGATTATATGAGTCTACACTGCCATATAATCCAGTTCAAAGATTATCTGGATTGTAAATGGCAATGTAGAAGGGCCATAGACTGCCTGCTTTGCCTCCCTACTTAGCCTTGGCCTCCCTCCACATTCCCATTTTGGCCATGGGCCTTACTGCAGCAGGTATTACCCATCGCATTAAGTTATGGTGTAACACCCACAAATCTGACCATACAGTAATGTTTTTTATACTAACGTCACTAATATGTTTTAATTTCTCTATGCATTTTTTTTCTTTTCGAAAACCTTCCAACTAGAGGAAATAATCCAGCCTTTAATTTTGCCATTCTACAGAATGGTGGGGGGGGGGGGGGGAAATAATTTCCTAAAGTTCAGGTTTTTTTTCTAAATCATGTGAACTTGAATAGGAATTTATAACCTGTATTTATATAAAAACTCTTGTTGATTGGCTATGAAAAACAGCTATACATAACTTAGAACAACCCCACTATGCATGTTCACCAGAAACCTTTTGAGATAGCAAGAAGAAATTAACATAAATTAGGTGTAAGTATTTATATGAAATGAAAACCTTTTGCTTGTGTATCTGTCTTTTCCTAGTTAGTTCCTAGCAGTCTTGGAGAAAGGAATATCACTCTTATCAGAAGCTCTTTGTTCTTGGAGCTAGTGACCTTGAAAGTCTGAAGAAGCAATTTGCCTCCTCCTTATCTTCTAAATATTTCCCAAGAAAGAACCCAAAAGATAAGCCATTCCAGCCCCCTTTCAACCAAGCCAAAATGCAAAACCACAGCACCATCATCACCATACACCAAACCACAAAGACTTCTCAGTATCTTTTGGTATGAGTGTTACTCGTATATCATGATTTCAGCATATCTCAGGATGTAGTGACAATCCCAATGGCAACAAAAACAACAGACGGTCAGATAAAACCATGGGATTCAAATGTTGTTGTAACTGGATAATAATAATGCCTCTTACTGGAAGGTTCAAAAAGTAAAGTATAACGTTTAAATGTTTTAGTATATTGATAGAGTACTGAAACTGTAAATGTACGCTTGTTTTTGTGAGTGTTTATGCTGACCCCCCCCCCCCCCCCCCCCCCCCCCATCCTCACATTTCTGAAATTAGCTTAAACCACATTTTCCCCTTACACTCAGACCAGGATATTATGGTTTAACCTTGAGTAGTTTCTTGCCCACTTTAGTAAAATGAGATTAAATCACATTTTACCAGTTGATATGTAATGAAAAACTGCAGTCAAAATAAATGATGGTAAAAATGTCAGAGTTTAGAGAGAAAAAATCAAAAGAGGTAAATGTTTAGTCATAATGCTTATTCATGAATCAATAAATCATAGTTTTTATAGTAGGTTTGAGACCTTGGGAGCCCCCGGTGGTACAATGGGTTAAATCCTTGTGTTGGCAGGACTGCTGACCGATAGGTCAGCGGTTCAAATCTGAGGAGAGCGGGTTGAGCTCCCTCTGTCAGCTCCATCTCCCCATGCAGGGACATGAAGTCTCCACAAGGATGGTAAAACATCAAACATCCAGGCGTCCCCTGGGCAACATCCTTGCAGGTGGCCAATTCTCTCACACCAGAAGTGACTTGCAGTTTCTCAAGTTGCTACTGACAGGAGAAAAAAAACTTTGTATCATTAGTCCTTTGACAATTAGCCATCCAAACCCTTTTAACTGTTCTAAAGTTACGAAATTAAAATGAATATTAGATACACTAGAAAGGGATTTTATTTTTAGTTACAAAAACTATAGAAGTAGAGATCAAGGCCTTATATTAATCTAAATCGTTGGCCTCTGGGTAACGCCAAATCTTTATGTACTCTGGGACATTTGAATGAGACTGTTCTTTGGACATTTCTATATTGCTTTTTGATATTAATCTATTCTTTTCAACATCTTCTCTTTATTTCTTTATCATGTCAAAAACAAATGCCATCATGTCAAAACAAGCATAGAAATGACATTTGCTTTTTTCATTTTTTCACTATGAAGAGTTTGCAAAAATCTTCAGATTTATGTTTTCTGGAAGCAACTGAACTATCTTTATTTGTTTATTGTATTTAAATGTTTATATTTATATTTTTATACTTGAAGATTTCACTATTCAAATGCTATATACATTATTCCCTGAGATATGTTCCCCTTTCCACTGAATGTGCTTTAGCCTAACGACCATTTTTTTATTTTAGGCAGTTGAATAATATGAGTGACATATCAGTCGATGAATGTGTGGTGAGCGAAGCAGGTCAAGAAGAGGAAATCAAAAGAACATGTCCTAGAATCCTTTTTTGAAATTGCAGAAGCAATTATTAGACAGTCTAATTTGGGAATTATTTTTCACTGTAGATATTGCTTTGAAGTTCAATTGCTTTATCCATTCATCTTAGGTTTGCAGTCTTCTTTATTAGCCCATGAAAAGTAATTTTTTTGCCTGTGGACTCAGAAGTAAATATTGGTGTAGTCTTTGGGACATTTATCAGCTCACAATGCAGAAATTAGAGATCAAGTATTCCTGCCTCACCCTATGCGGATGGCAAGTCCATGATGCTTAGTTAGTCCACTCATGAAAAAGTGACAGGAAGTGAACTTGTTTGAACAGATAGTTTCGCTACCAAGCTGTTCTTGCTTTCATATTTTGGGAAGAACAACTTGTAGATATTATTGGTGATTGTTTTATTTTTATTGGTGATTTTCCTTTTCAACTTCTTCTACATCAGGAAAAGACATATGTGAAAGCCTAGGGGCTGCATTAGAAACCCCTAACCTTTCACATTTGCCTACTCTGAGACCCTGAGGGAGTGCACCCTAACTGTACCAACTTTTTTGGTAGTGATTAATATGTTTTATTTTAATTTACATGTTCATAAAAACATGAATATATAAATTACATGTATATATGAGATACTAAGTATGAAACCCTATCTTTTAAGGTGAAGGTTTCAGAATCGAAGACAGTTTTCCTTAATAAACATGCATAGATATCAGACGGATAAATCTATCCAAAAATCTTTTATCATCTTGGAAAGAAGTAGTAAATATTGCCTGCCAGCTTGAACATCTAGAAACCCTAAATGTCAGGTACTTACTAATCATGTTGTATAAATTCTGTCCAAGTTACCTTTGAATGCTTCACTGATTCATAGCCATGCCAGTGAGTTGAGGTTAGAGTTGATGTGCACATTGGCCAGGAAAATGGTATCGGAGAAAGGACTGGTCCCTGACCTCTCTGAGTATGTGCTCCTGTTATGTTCCTATTGGAGCTCCCTGAAGCTAATTTTAATTTTAAAAAGAAACATTGGAAAATAGATTTATGCATATTCTATAGTTTGGCTATTCAGTTAGGATTTTAACACTAGGTATTGTTTACAAGTTATCCCAGTATTCTCAATTAAAAATTGTTTGTCCTCATCTGTTTCTGAAATGCAACATTTGTAAAATATGTCTTAAGAATTTAAATATCTGCTTTTTAATGGGCATGAAATATATGCAATAGGAAAGAATATAGGCATAAAATGATACAATGGGTGTATAGAAATTCAACAGAAGAGATGTAAAATGGAGAGAGGACTTTGGTGTAAGATTTAACCAGAAGCTATTTGGATTAAATGTGTTCCATTCAGAAACAATAAGAAACCCTTCTTCCGTTTTTGCTGTAGTGAAAACAAAATGAAATTTCCATCCTCTTCACCACCAAACTCAAGAGCTTTTTGTAATCTGAAGGTGTTGGCACTTAATCATACAGAAGTGACATGGACTGAGGTAATGCATGTTTGTGGTAATCTTTATGGTTTATCATATGTTTTATAATTCTGGTATTATTATTATTATTACTACTACTATTATATTTATTTATACCCCAGTTTATCTCCCCAAAGGGGACTCAAAGCGGCTAACATTACATTCAAATGTATATATTTTTGATATGTTTGAACTTCTAGTTTCAACGTAATATTTTGCAGGAGTTCACAAATACTTCTATTCTTAGCAAGGTAGTAAATAATTGGGAAGGTTTTCCACTACTTCCATCTGCACACAGAAAAAATATGGGATCCTGCAAAACAAAAACCTGTTATTCTGTAGGATCCCATCTGTGAAAATTCAGGGAAGGGAATTCTCAAAACAGAAAATGTATAGTATGTCTCAGAAATATAAACAACTGCAATCGGATCTATTTTATTTCTTCAAGAGCCATGAATTGGAGCCTGGAACAAGATAAATGAAATTAAAATAATTGTGAGCACAGGAAATGATGCTACGAATGAAACTGAATTGAGTTTTCGGTCCTTTCACATTATTAGCCATTCCAGAGCCCCTGATGGCACAATGGGTTACACCTTTGTGCTGGCAGGACTGCTGACCGAAAGGAGCGGATCTGTCCCATCTGTCAGCTCCAGCTTCTTATGTAGGGACATGAGAGAAGCCTCCCACAGGATGGTAAATCATCTGGGCATCCCCTGAGCAACATCCTTGCAGATTATCAATTCTCTCACACCAGAAGCGACTTGCAGTTTCTTAAGTTGCTCCTGACATGGAAAAAAAAATAGCCATTCCTAGTTATTCCAAGCCTTTTTTAATTGTAAGAATATTTAAGAATAATTTGGGCATGAATAAGGAAGATTGATTTTGTTGCTGTTAATTTTTTTTAAAAGCACATCTGGAAATCCTTGTCCTTATATTGCATTATCACCCAGAATGTAATAAGAAACACTAGCATATCCGCTCTTCAATTATGGCAGGAATTCCCAGTGCTTCATCCATCCATACGTTCCCTGATTAAAAAACACAAAATGTTTCCTTGTTGGAAATTAAATTTGCTTGCATATTTATTGAATTTTATGATCATAGTCAACTTATCTAAATACTTAATATCTACACAAACAGAATCTGAAATATTCTGCATAGTTGTTATATTACTGTATTTTATATAGATGCTCCTCAAAACAAGTTTTTGTAAATCTATTTACATGTTAAATGATTTTTTTTTTTGCAAATTCATTTCCAGATTTTACCTAGGCAATAAACTTTCATTTGATTCCTCAGCTAAACTGTTATTCTTGGAAGTAATTCATTTCACTGAAGTCACAGGAACTTACCCATAAATAAGATTATGATTGAGGTTGTTGAATTCTTGAAATGCCTCAGAGTAGTGGTTCTGCCTACTGGGGTAGGAATATGAAAAACATACCACCTCCTTCCCTATTAATTTCCTCAATTCCTGAAGTTAATTTGGTGAGGACAACGGGACCTTGCTGAATGGTATGAGCTGAAACCCTATGGGCATTTCTGAAGATTGCTGTGAGCAGGTTCAAAGCAACCCACACCATTCAGCCTTGCTCCTTTGACCCACTTTAGGAAAACTTTTGCAGATAAAGTGTGGTTCCTAGAATAATGGAGTTGGAAGAGACCTCATGGGCCATCCAGCCCAACCCCATGCCAAGAAGCAGGAAAATTTCACTCAAAGCACTCCCAACAGATGGTCATCCAGCCTCTGTTTAAAAGCCTCCAAAAAAGGAGCCTCCACACTTTGGGACAGAGAGTTCAACTGCTGAACAGCTCTCACAGTCAGGAAGTTCTTCCTAATGTTCAGATGGAATCTCCTTTTCTGCAGTTTGAAGCCATTGTTCCACATCCTAGTCTCCAGGGCAGCAGAAAACAAGCTTGCTCCCTCCTCCCTATGACTTCCCCTCACATATTTATACATCACCATCATGTCTCCTCTCAGCCTTCTCTTCTGCAGGCTAAACTTGCCAGCTCTTTAAGCCGCTCATCATAAGGCTTGTTCTCCAAACCCTTGATCATTTTAGTTCCCCTCCTCTGAACACATTCCAGCTTGTCAACATCTCCCTTCAATTGTGGTGCTCAGAACTGGACACAGTATTCCAGGTGTGGTCTGACCAAGGCAGAATAGAGGGGTAGCATGACTTCCTTCAATCTAGACATTGGATCTTGATGAGATTTGATGGGAAGACTGGTTTTTGCCAACCATTGCACAAAGATTTTTTTGGTATCTAAGCCTTTTCTGACTGCAAATGAACCTTTCAGTGTTCATATTAGTTGTGCTTAGCTTTGAGAGTCTAACACAAATATAAAATATGTATGATATTATGTATATTGGTAGTAATTCTTTTAAAATGCTTAAAGCACTATAATTGTAGGTTAATTCATGCATAAAACTGGAAAACATATCTAAGAGAGCAGAGAGAGAGCATTTAGAGGGACGGGCATAGCCTCAGAGAAGCTGCTGAGAAAACGGTCTTCTTCATAGTCAGCAAATGAGTCTGTGAAGATAGAATGGAGTCAAAGCCCTCTCCTGAAGCCTAAGGCTTGAATGAAGTGGTACAGCCATTCACATAGTTTAGATCTCAGTTGTATAGTGTTTGGGGGCTAGAACTTGCAGAACTAGTTCAAGACATCCGGATGCAGGAGAGCTGTCTCAATTCCTTGGATCAAGATCTGGACAAACTCATATTAACTACATTTTTGTTACTTTGTTTGAATGCATACTTGTTAAGGCATATGCCGTGCAACTTTTATACTAAGTGATGTTTTCCCATTAGGTTCTTTTATGTGCTACAGGGTGGCCTGTTCTTGAAGAACTCTACCTGGCTTCCAATGAAATTTCGCTTTTGGAGAGGTACGAGGGTAACTGTAAATGCTTCAGCTGCTTGTGGTATCACTTATTAAGATATTGAATGTTACATGCCGTTTTTGTGTCTGTCCTTCTAAAGATGGATGCTTATTTATGCATGTGAATAATAAAAATGCATTTATCATTTGTTTATTAAAATGGATACCTCACCTCTGTAATTGAATAATACACAAGGCGGATACCAATAATATGCAGTATAATTAAAACTCAAAATATAAATGTTCTATAAGAATGTTTGTCTAAGTTTAAATCTTATTTGTTTGCTTGTATGGTGCAAATAAGAGAACCTCTCCTACTTATTAGGGGTGTTACCATTTAATTACCCAGTTAAAATATACTATACTCATAAAGATTCAGATGTAATTATGTGAAGGTGTAGGGAGAAACATCACAATGTGCACTCCCTTTTTTTACTTGCACACACTTTTTAGCAACCTGCTGTTACCTAATGAAAGATCAGGAGCCCTTAGAGAAACAGATATTGGGTAGAAATACTGTTTACAAACAACTCTGTGTTTGTTGTTGACAAGCTAATCCATCAAAACCTGGAGAGTCACTACCAAACAGAGTCTATGATACTAAGCTTAGTTGAAGTTGTCTGACTTGGGATTGTGTGAAGCAAATATTACCTATTACAGAACTTTCCATACTGTGTGGTGTGACACGTTAGTGTGTCGGCTACAACGTGTAGGTTGCATGTAATGAGAAATTATAAGAATCCAGAAATGTATGTTCATCTTACAAATCATATTATTTTAAAATATAAGTGAAAGGTTTTCATGAGATATGTCATGTCATGCATTTCATTACTACAATTTATGTATGCATTCGTATCTCATATTAGGGGTTGGTTTAACCTTGGATTTGCTAGTAAAACTGAATTATTGTATCACAAAATGTTGTATCTCACTAATACTAAATGTTTGGAAAACTCTTGTCGTATTACTATATCTTAGGAGGTATTAATTTCTATCACCTAAGAACTTCTAAAGTTTGACAACTTTATTGTTCTTTTTCAAGCACAAATGGATTAATAATTCTAATATATTGTATGTACATATAATATTGATCATAATATTTTAATGCAATATATTATTAATAATAACATTATATATTTTATATTACATGTAATATTACTAATAATATTGCAATATAGTGGTATAGTACAATATTGTAACATATAATACTAATATTGTACTATGCTAATAATATAATATATTGTATTGCAATCCTGGGATTTGTAGTTTGGTGAGGCATAGGCATTCTTTGGCAGTCCCCATGATCCCAAACTACAGCCCCCATGACCCCATCCATGGCATTGAGCCAGGGCGTTAAAGTGGATTCATTCTACAGCATAGATGCATCCCAAGATTTTCTTTTCCATTGCTGAAAGTTTTGGTGTTCTAACACTTTTTTTAAAAAAAGAAGGAATTATAATCAGGCAGCAACTATAATGTGGTTTAGAAGGTTAGTCTTGTTTAGGAAATTTAAAAAAGTGTAATTTTTAGTCAAATTACAAAAAGTGTATTTTTTGTTGCTGCGCATTACATTTGCCAGCAAATACTTTTTTGGTTTCAGGGCTTTGGAAATTTAAGTATGAATTAGATTTGATAGTGCATCAGATTCAAGGATTGTTTATATCTGTTCCTTATATATTTACAGCAAACGCTTTGTAACAATATTTTTAAAAATATTCTTAAATGTATTTTTTCATACAGACCTATTGATACCTTACATAACCTGAAATGGTTAGACCTCTCTGACAATCAATTAACTGATGGAAACCAACTTCACCTAATTGCAGACCTCCCCAGGTAACTGTTAAGTGTTCCTGCTCTGAATTTTTAGTCATGGTTCATTCTGGTTGAGTAAAAGCATGTTGTGCTAGAGCAGAATGACTATAAGGCAGACAGTAAGCACATTTTCCAGATCCTCCTCAGTAAATATTGGTTAGTAGTTTGCATATTATATTCCTCTTCTATCTGTCAACATGGGGGGAAAGTGTCAGTGCTTAGCAACACTGGCTGCTAAAGCAATTTTCTCAGGTAATGTCTTTCCCCTGGTTTCTTTTAATGGAAAAGGAACATCTATCTACATTTTATCTTAAATATATATTGAAGAGCCTTAGTTAGGTGTTTACCATACTAGAATCCCTGTTCTGATTAATAAAATAATCACAAGCCATTACATTTAAAATCCCATGCTTAAAAATTGTACTCTTGACTTTTAAATTTCAGGTTAGAAACGCTCATACTTTCAAACAATGCAATTTCTTCAATACACTTTCCTGATGTTGGATTTGGTATGTAAATGACGTGTTTTGACATTTTTTTAAACTCTAACTTTAATTATTCTCTATTATCTTACAAGTTTCCTTTCCTTCTCTGTCTCCATTTTTTGGGCAGGTTGCAAAACTGGCAAGTTTCCTTCCTTAACACATCTTGGAGTAAATTCCAATAGAATTGCAGAAGTAAGTAAAATGTACTGGATTTTGAAAAGAGCTCTCAAAATAGCGACACTTAACTAGAACATATTACAATATTTGCTGCTTCAAAATTTAAGAAAATTAGAATTAATTGGTTATTCTCATGATCATAGATAATGTTAGGTCAGATAATTTGCTGTTGTATTTTGTACAAAATATTGGTTTGGACAGGATTGTGACCTCTGTTTTTATTGGCACTAGAATTCATGAGAGTATATACACTTTGAGAGAATGTGGCCAGGCCAGTCCATACAAGCTTTACATGTACTTCATAGTCAATTATGTCTTCATACCATTCTGGTTTTATGAAATTGAACATATTTTGCTTGCTTTCCTTTCGTTTTAGCAGTAGCAAATTAATATTGTACCCTTAATTTTGTGAAATGAACTATGTCTAGTAATATGTAGAAATTTTGTATTCAGTGTGGCATCTGAGTGAACAAAGATTAAAAC